GGAGGAGGAGGAGGAGGAGGAATGTCCGTTGACATCGAGTACACGTTGGAAGCGGTCGTGCGTCAGCGTTTCGGACGGGACGTAGATGTGATTTGCGTGCTTCGCGTTTCACTTTGGCAGCGGCGATTCGGTTGGTCTCATAGATCGCAGCGCCTGTTTTCACTCTCCTCCTCCAGGTCGGTCGATCAAGTGCGAGCTCCTCCCAGTTGGCCGTGTTGATTTGCAGGCGTTTCAGGGAGGACTTCAGGGTATCCTTGTAACGGCGAATCTGGCCTCCTTGACGGCGAGAACCCGTTGCGACGTCTCCGTAGAAGAGTCGTTTGGGTAGTCGCTCGTCGTCCATGCGCACCAGGTGGCCGCTTCAGCGCAGCTGCATTTGTCTCAGCAGGGTGTAGATGCTGAGGATTTCCGTCCGTTCCAGCACATCAGTGTCGGGGATTCGATCCCGCCAGTTCAGCCTTAGGATGCGACGAAGACAGTCGGCGTGGCTGCTTTGCGTAAACTGTTAAGTCTCCACTCCGTACAGCAGCGTCGGCAGGATGACGGCCTTATATATCTTCAGCTTCATGCTCGGTTGGAGACCGTGACGATTCCAAACTGTGCTTTGGAGGCGGCCGAAGGCTTGACTGGCTTTCGAGATCCTCTTTGCGACTTCGTCATCGGTCTTGATGTTACGGGAGAGGGTGCTCCCCAGGTACGGGAAGTTCTCCACCACTTGCATTTGGGTTCCGTTCACGCTGATTTGCGGCGCGTTGGGGGGTGTGGCTGAGTTGGGTGGTGGTTTATGCATCACCACTGTCTTCTGCATGTTGATGACCAGACCGAAGTTCTCGCAGGCGGCGGAGAACAAGCCCATGCTCCGTTGCATCTCCTCTTCCGAGAGGGTGTTCAGGGCGCAGTCTTCGGCGAAAAGAAGTTCGTGAACGTGGGTTGTAGGGACGCGCGATTGGAAGTGCATCCGCCGTTGGTCCGTTATGTAGCCGTCCGTCCTGTAGGCGCTGGGGATCAGGGGGCGTTCATCACGGTAGACGTCCATCAGCATGACAGAGAACATAAGACTGAAGAGGGTGGGCGCCAGCACGCATCCCTGTTTCACTCCTTTGGTCACTGTGAATGCCTCCGAGACCGCTCCGTTGTCCGTGACTCGCGTTATCATACCGTCCGGGCAGCAGACGCACCATCTGAATGAATCGTTCCGGACAGCCGAATTTCTGCATGATCTTTCACAGTACTTCACGATTCACCGTATCGAGGGCTTTCGTCAGGTCCACGAAGGTAGAGTACAGGTGGGTCCGCATCTCCAGGTACTTCTCCTGAAGTTGACGGGCGGCGAAGATCGTATCCGTGGTTCGGCGATGACGACGGATGCCGCACTGGCTTTCCGGCAGAAGGCCCTGTTCCAGATGATTATTCAGACGATTGATGTGGATGCGAGCGAAGATCTTCCCGGTGATGTTCAGCAAGGAGATGCCACGGTGATTGTCGCAGACTTGGCGGTTCCCTTTTCGCTTGCAGAGATGCACGATGGTTGCGTCTTTGAAATCTTGCGGGACTTCACCTTGACGCCACATCTCCTGGAAGAGCGCAGTCAGGCGATCCATTGGTTGGGGACCTCCATGCTTGTAGACCTCAGCAGCGATTGCGTCCGATCCGGGTGCTTTCCCGCTGGAGAGCTGCTGCACGGCCCTGATGGTTTCCTGGAGAGATGGCGGGAGGTCGAGGTCCACGTTGGTCTCCACTTGCGGCAAATCGTCGATGGCGGCATCGGAGAGTGCGGAGGGCGGTTTAGAACGCCTCGGAAATGTTCGGCCGATCGCTGTAGAATTTGTGTCTTCTCGGTCAGGACGGTTCTGCCGTCGGCGCTGAGGAGAGGAGCAGTGTCCTTCATCGGCGGACCCTAGACAGCTTTGGTCGCGGAGAAAAAGTTCTTCCACTCGTTGCGGTCCGCGTATCCTTGGATCTCCTCCGCTTTGCGAGCAGTCCAGGCGCTCTGCATCTCACGCAGTCGTTGCTAACGGTGGCGGCGACTGCGGTAGAAAGCAGCTTTGTTGTCGTCGGTGGGGTGATCTACGTAGGCTTTTTGTAGGCGGTTCTTCTCAGCAAGCAGATTTCCTATGGTGGAGTCGTTGTCGTCGAACCAGTCCTGGTGTTGGTGGCGTGAGCGACCGAGGACGGCTAGCGCCGTCGACTGGACCGTGTCCCGTATTTGACACCAGCGGTTCTCCACGGAGGCGTTCTCGGCGACGGCTTTGGCGGCGGGGTCGGCGGCGGCATCGATAGGAAGGTTGTCTAGCCGTTGAGCTAGCTCACTGCTGAATTGAAAGTGGTGAGCGGGTAAAGACAACAAGGCAATATTCAGCCTACCTGGGTATCGCTTACCTTGTAGTCTCCTGCGAGGCTGTAGGCGAATACGCATCTTCGATATGACGAGGCGATGGTCTACCCGTCAGCTCCCGCAATGGCCTTTGTCACCAGCACGTCCCGCTGATCTCGCCTCCGGACGAGGACATAGCCCAGCAGGTTACACTGACGTGATCGAGAATGCATCAAGGTGGTCTTCTTTCGCATCGACAGGCAGAAGAAGGTGTTCTTGAGAATGAGGCGGTGTTCTGCGCAGGTGCGGAGAGGGAGCAGGCCATTGTAGTTGGAGTCGTTGAGACCATGGGAACAGAGCATTCCTTTCCCGGCAGCATGGTCCGCGCCGACGCGGGCGTTAAAGTCGCCAAGAACAATCAACTTGTCCGCCTTCGACACAGTCGCCAAGAGGGCATGCAGGTCCTCGTAGAATTTGTCTCTTGCGGTGTCAGAACTGGTCACCGGTGGAAAGTAGGCGCTGATGATGGTGACGAATTTGCCTCCCTAGACAGGCAGGCGGAGTCTCGTCAGGCGATTGTTGATGTCCTGCGGAAAACAGGGCAGTCGTCCTACGATGTCGTTCCGAATGGCGAAGGCGACGCCTGCGTCTCGTCGCTCTGCTCTGGGGCGACCGCTCCAGACGAAGGTGTAGACAGCACCCACCTCCTCCAGTTGGCCTTGTGTGGAGAATCGAGTCTTGCTGAGTGCGGCAATGTCCATCTTGTAGCGCGCCAGTTCCTGAGCCACTAGCGCCGTCCTCCATTCCGGTCGGTTGGACCTCGGATTGTCTAAAAGGGAACGAACATTCCAGGCTGCCAGAGTGAGCGGACTCACCCTGCCAGTCTGGTGACAACGAGGGGAGCAACGGGAAGGAGGTGGAGAAAAAGGTGCTGAAGGCGAAGAATAAGCAGAAGAATAGGCAAAGGAAGAGGAAGAAAAGGTAGGATAAGGAGAGCGAGTAGCGTTGTCGTTGTTGTTATTTCGATCTTGGTTGTTTCGACCGTCAGTTTTACGTCTGCGACCATGGTCAGCCTGCAGACGACGTGGTTCTCCAGCAATCTTTAGGCCAGCTTTTCCAGGCTCCCTCCGAAGAGAAGCAGAGTCCCTCCCTGAATAGGGCTGCTTGATTTGCCGGCGCGGCCGAACTCCGCTGTGGGCTACGAGATTTTCTTGGCAGTGGAAGAACGACTCGAATTTGTCAATGGCTTACGACATCGCCGTAAGGCCGCGGTCTCCTACGGTGCACCAGATGGGCGCGTGTCAGCGATGCCGATTCGAAGATTTATCCCACCGACTGACTAACGGCGTACCAGGCGGAGCCTCTTCACGACGGTGCCGACACGGTGTTCCATCCGACCAAGCGTCCAGCGGAGTCCACAGTATCCTGTGTACGTGGCACAACGCGCACCGGGAGTAACCGCCCTCACCTGGTTTAGCCCGCCGGTCGAGGCGGTTGCATTTTTTGTCGGTGAGATCAGGCTTGGTTGTCGCGTAGAATGTCCCGCCACAGCCCCTTCCACAGCCCCGCCAAGCCCCTTCATAGCCTCCTCTAGCCCCGCCATACTTGAGGTGGTTAGGCGGGGCTGCTGCTAGCAGGGGAGTGTAGTTTTTTGCGTGCAGCCGAAAAGAAGTTCATTGGAAAGCCGACATCCTGATGTGACTGAATTATTATAAAATTATGCTTCATGGCGATTGGTTTAAATTAAGCTTTGCGAAACGAAAATGCATTTCAGAATTTCGGTTGATATTTCATGAGTTAGCCCACCTACTATACGTGCGTGCACTCGCCTTACTGTGGAGCACACGATGGATATCGTCGGTCGCGACGGTCGAAGTGTAAGCTAGTTTAAGCACAAGTATGCTACAGAGAAAGCCGTAAGATATTGATTACTTCAAGCGCCAGTGCACGCGCTAATAGTTACGCACAAGACAATAGCCCTGATCGCGTATGATGCGGAATGTTTGTGATAAATCGCCTTTTAGCTGTCTGTAACTCCAAGGAAATGGATCGAGATTAATTAATCGTGCTTTGCATGGTAGTGAACCCTGTCCAGCCACAGGCCTGGCTGCGCATCTTTCAACGTTTTCGTGGATGCTGAAATCCCCAGCGGTCGAGGTTCTTCAAGCTTGGACATCGAACTCAAGTTGCAGCCGAACGAACGTTAGATAAACTTTGGAGAAGTAGTTTTCATCAAAGGTAAATAAGGACTGCTTGACAAGGTACATCGTGGACTTGGCTACTTTTGAGCGGTTTACTGATGATTCAAGTGAATTCGCGATCCACACATCGAAGTCCTTCTTGGTGTCTTTTTTACAATGATATGTCATACAGAAGATGAACGCCACAGTCCGGCGATCTAGTCCCACCTCCTCGCAGAGCGCTCCATTCGTTCGCACTAAACGACAAAAGTCAGTCATTCGGCCATTGCACGAGTTGCTTAGGTTTGCCTGCAAATGCTCTTCGTCGACGTCAGTCCAGATGACGCTCCAAGACGTCACAATCCAGTTCAGTGTTTTAGGGTTTTCAAAGGCATTGCCTATTACCCTTAAAATATACTGACCTAAATATAATGAACAGAGTATGGCCAAGGACAAAGTCTTGTAAAACATCAGTCTCAACCGCAGCATCCCCCAGCTACTGGTCAACAACGTGAACAATTTCGGATCGCCCGAATAAGAAACACCGAATTTACCACAGAACATTAATCCCAACGCCTGTTCGGTTGAGTATGTACAAGAGCCGCTGATCTTGTTCATCATCGATGGCCTCCTTGAGGTCGATATAAACTGCTTGCACCACAGTCGCGTGCCCGACACGACCGCCTTCCCCGCACAGCACAGCAGGTTTTCGCAAGAAGGGGATTGTGGCCCGAATTTTACCCCGCCAAAGGCTTTGCTGAAGTTAATATAGACTGCATCTACTGAAAAACCCATTTATAAGGATTTTGTCCAACATTCTATGGGTGTGAGCAGGTTAATGAAACAGGATTGACCGCTTCTAAATCCACGTTGAGTCGCGCTAAACAACCTCTCCTCCTCAACATGCCTCATCAGTTCTTTTTTATTGTCTTCTCCATTAGTTTTCGGAAAATGCTTGTGAGATTCATTGGTCTGAAACTGTTTGACGATGTTATCTGGAGATCTCCACCTTTATATATGGGGCCTCAGTTGGCCAGCTTCTAGTAAGTAGGCAAAGTCCCCGCTTCTACCGAAAAGGGAGGTCAGTTGGCCTGCAAGTCCATTCAGAAATTTTGCAGATTGCCATCCCAATCAGGCGATCTAATAGGCTGTAGCTGTCCCAGAGTTTTCCTCACTACGTCCTTTGTGAACATTACCGTATTAATTTATTTCAAGGTGGGGCAATCTGTCGGCGTACTTTCTCGTAAAAAGGCAGTTTGTCGGTATACACGGACATAAATAAATCGGATAAGAGATTCGTCTTACCTAAGTTATCGGTCAACTTACTTCCCTGACAATCATTTAGACAAGGAATATAGTCCCGATTGCGTTATACCTTATTCACGTAACCGAAGAACTTCTTCGGATTCCTTGGTATTCCTTTGACATTTTGTGACTCAAACACTCCTCTTTCCCTCCTCAGGAGATTGCGACATCTAGTAAGCAGTTTCTTTAATTCAGAGAAACACTCAGATTGTTTACATCTGGCATATCTCCTCCACAATCTCCTTCTCTTCTTGGGATCTCTTTTAAATTCCGATGTCACACACTCTGGTGGGGAGACGCACAATCTCCTTTGAAGCGGACAACACTCCTCTACCAACTATCGAATCAATTCTTAAAAGAGACTCAACCGGCGTTTGGGGTAGATGCACGTGCATGCTTTCAGTCTAACTCAGCTGACAATACTTTCGTTTTGGAATAATCCCCTTCCCATACATTTTTTTCTTTACCTTCCGAATTTCAGATACAGCAAAATGACTAGACTCCCAAACAAGAACGCAGTGATCCCTTCGGCTCAGAGTCGAGTTAGAATTCAATCCAATGGTACAGTTTTTATCCCTACTAAAGATTAGACGCAAACAGCTTGATTGCCGTTCATTTCAGAATCGGGCGTCCGTGTTAAAGTGTTGTTTAAAAGACTGCGCATTAGTGTGCGTCATGTTATACTTTTTCTTCGCTCTTCGGAAGTGTTTTGTTGGTTTTGCACCTGAAAACTAGTGCTGTACGCTTCGCACCACATATCTAGTTTACTCTCTGTCTTCGAATTTACAAGTGTTCGATGAACTGATGACTGGCGTTGGAACCATTAATTTGGCCGGACGATCCCATAGAAAATCGCGTTTCGTTTTTACAGATTTGCTGATTGCAATCTGTATATTTTTTTCTCCCTCGTTCTGACGCCTTGTCAGCTCTGCTATCAGTGTCCTCCTTTTCATTTGCTCGAAGGACACAAATCTGGTGAAGAAGCATTCTATGGTGGTTACTTGGCAGCCTGGATTTTGAGACCAAATTAGATGTGCCTGCTGCCTGCCTACCAAGACGACTTTTGATGATCTTGGTCTCATCCCCTTTGCTGTATCTTCAACAGGGAACCCAAAATGGAGGACATTTTTTTATTTCAACCACCTCATTGTATTCTTGGCTGTCATTTAGTAAATTTTGAATTGCTAAAAGGTTCTGCTTAACCCCCTCTTTTGGGGTTTCGCCATGAGTCTCCAAACCACACAAAGTGATTTTTCAAAGAAAAAATTCCGCTCTCATTCCTGCCCACTTATTGAAGGTAGGTTGAACCAAACTGTCTAGGAACGTTCAGTCATGTCACTAACATATTCGGCTATGTGCGCCATTCGATAAAGCTGTATGTCAGATCTTACCAACACACCTAACTTTACCTGCCCACACACACATATATCCCTGGGTCACATTTGAATCCCGTCCACACTACGCATTATACCCTGTAATAGTTTAAATCTTTCTTTTAGTAAATATATGATACGCTTTGTCATTGCCGGTATGGTTGGCACAATGATGGTCAGATAGCGTGTAATTCAGACAACGGGCTGTCTGGCTTTGTTATTAACCCCAGCGAATCTCATCGCCAGCTAGATGACAGGCTCAATAAGGGGTTAGTGCGCTCAATAGGGAATATACAGTGAGACCAATACCGAGTGATCCATTTCTACGGCAAGTCAGTACTTTATTCACTATAATAAGCCTGGCACGATTGTATCTATTACGACGCTCAAAGAGTCTTGGCTTGAAATGCTACGAAATGCTGGGATAAGTTGACTCTCACTGTCTGTAAAACAACAGTTTGAGCGTTTCGAAATACGACGTCCACCGAATGCCTTACAGCATGCTGACGTGGAAATGAATTGCATGTAGATTAATTGGTAGTTATAGTACACCTGCTCAGAAACTGCCGCACTGTCTCCTCCCTGCCTATCTGGGCTCAGTGTCAAAACAGACGCAGAAAGACCGGAAACCGACCCGGGTGCGGCTGTTGATAACGCTGAGTATTCCGTCTACGTAGCCACACACGACCGATTCCTTGCATAATGGACCATTTTTTCGCCAAATTTGGGAGCAGTGTGGATCCCACCTGAGCAAGACTGCCGTGGAGACCACATTAATAAGAGACCTTCCAGAGTGAACCGAGCTACCAGTCAGTTGAATTTCTTCCAAACCATGATGTTTGGAACGTATTAATAATTCCAAGGACGTCTTTTTTTGCGGTAAAGAATACGCTGAAATGGATTAAAAATCGATTCTGTAGTGTCGGCCTCACTCTCTCTTCTCCCCTCCATACATCAGTCCGCTCTCCGAGCCTGTCAATTATCTGAGGCTAGGATTGGGCGCAGTTGGCTGACGCTGAGTGATGCCCTCATTCAGACGTGCCTTTTCACCAAGTCCCATGTGTATCGTATAATCTGGGATGTGGTTACTCGGCGTTGCCTTGTTAACGCCTGCAATATCCCAATCTGGACCCCGTTTTCGGGCATCATCTGCACGGAACAGCTCTCTGCAGGAGCTGTACCTAGGCAAACCACCGTGCAAACAGAAAAACACACCGACAACAAGCATTCGGAATTTTAGAGATATAACAAGTTAACATACTGTTAGCGTAATTACTCCAGATGGCTAGAGGCAGGCACAGACGATATAACTGGAGAAGACATCCTGTCTTCGAAAGTACTGCATTGAGCTCCTTAATAAAACGCGCCTAATATATTCAAATATCTTTACGACATGGCAGTTATACTGGTAGACGCGTTGCTTTTAAGGCCGTAAGTAGGTAAGTTTTTGCTGTTTCCTCCTTCCCATATGGGCATGTGTTTTTATTAGCCTCTTAGCATAGTTGGGCTTACGTTAGTCGCCTCCAAGCGCATCACTTTTCTTCCAAAAAAGCGATCTTTTAACTTCTGCTGGACTCTGTATTTCGCCACATAAATCTATGTTCTCTGCGCAGTCTTGCAAATAAAGTTCAGGCAGTACCGCAGAATTTACTTCCAGGCGTAGCCCACCTTTGCACGAAAACCTCTCACATCTGTCAGCTGGTTACAGGTTAGTTGAGGAGAGAGTTCGCTGACAAGGGAAGCAGAATGATATCCACCTGTAATATTTAGACCGAAAATGCCAGAGCTCCTGCCAGAAGTGTGGGGTAACATGTTTCCCTTTATGGTGAACACAAATCCCTACTATTAGTCCAGCAAGGTCAATGAAATCATTAATAAGCCACAAAAGTATTTGACGGAGCATTTGACCTAAGCGAACTTCAAATTTGACAGATCAGGCCTCTATAACAGGACGTCCAAAATCAGCCACCAACGGTGCAGTTTCATAGAGCCCTTAGGTGCAGACGATTCTCATAGCGCAATTTTACTGGCAAGGCGGACTTCAATACTCACTTTCATAGACAACCAGACGCATCCCCGTGCTGAGAAGTTGGATCATGGTTATAGCTAGCCGACTTTCTTACATGCGAATATTAACGCGTTTGCATCGGTAACGCCAAATTGGAGTGGATGTTTCGCTGAGAAGCGTCCTAGGTACAACTTTGTTTTTAATATGTGAGAATGACTGCCTGGATTGGTCGAACTACTAGAACGTGGACAACGACTGAATAAATAACTATACTGGGTCATTGGATTTTTGTAGCTTTCTTTCCTGTAGTAGTTTTTGTGACGTCATGTCCAATGTTTCCGAAGACATCTTAAAGTTTTTGCCTCGTAGATATCCTAGTCTAATCTTTAGATTCCCTTGTTCCCATTTTTTCCGCAACAGACTTAAAAAGTTGAGACGGGAGCTTTGTGACTTATCCACTAGTTATTTATCTGTTCACCTTAGAATCATAGAAATTTTCGAAATAACCTCGAAGATGCGCCGAGCGCGCCACAGGAAAAGAAAATCATTTGCTCTCAGTGAGTACAGCCCTGCCAAATCCGTCCTTAGAATCTCCCGTCAGGGGTTTTTTCCTAAGTGTGCATACATGCTAAGCGTGGTCAGAAACTTCCCCTCCTGCTAAACGATAACAAAATCTTCCTCATCGATGACACTGACAAGGCGGAGTTGTTCTGTGCTTTCCTCGCAAAACACCTTACTACTGAGTCCGACCCAGTCCCTTTCTTTCATCCACTTTCAGATAGACATTGAATGCAATCGTTGTCTTCTCAGATCTAATTAAGAAACACATCAGTCGTTTGAAAAACTCACACTGCTCAGTAGCAGATGGGATTCCAAATTCGATAATTAAACAGGCATCTGACCTTCCCAAATTGCTAAGTCATTTATTCTCGGTTTATATTTCAAAAGGATTCTTTCTTGAAACATGGAAAACGTCAATTATCATTCTTGTTTTCAAGTTCGGATCTCGGTTCGTTGTTAATAACTATGGGGGTGCAAACAGAACACCGTCTCTAGCAAAACTTCTTAAAAGGATAATTTTCAATGAAATTCATGATTTATGTCTTGCTAATCAGCTTCTGGGCTCTAATCAGTATGGTTTTTTATCTGAAAGGTCTTCCGAAACTTGCCACTTGACCTCTCTTAATCTGACCACTTCTCTTCGTAATGAACAGCAGTGGTAGATATTTCCTATAATCTTAGCAAACCTTTCGACAATCTACCATATAGACGTCTTTTGGTAAAATTGGAAGCTCTTGGCATCCGGCCGCCTCCACTCGACTTCACCGAGTCCTACCTATCCAACGGCTATCAGAAAGCCAAGGTTCGTAATAGCTACTTGACACCTCACTCGATCACGCGTGGCGTAGTTCAAGGTACGGTTCTGGGTCCGCTACTCTTCCTTCATTACATCAATGATATTTCGGATGAAATCAGAAATCCGCAAGGCTTTCCTTATGTCGATAACTTCAAGTGTATTTACTCATTTTCTAAGTTCACCGCACATGTTTGCTTTGAAAAAGTTAATGCCGATTTACAACTCCTAAGCAGATGGAATTCAACATGGCAGATGGATTTTTCACAGTCCAAGCGAAACTTCATGCATTTTAGCCCCGCCAAGTTTCCTGGTCCCATAATTTTTCGGAATAACTCAGTCTCAGAATGCTTCATCGTGACACACTTAGGTTTACGTTATAAAAATAAGCGTACTTTTTCATATCGCGGTTCAATGTTACCAACCGCATCTGGGTTCCTATCATCTCGAGACTGGTTTTTAATTTCCCCACTTATTTGCCTTATTCAAGGCCACATACAGGCCAGTCCTGACCGACCCGCCTACTTACCTTTTCATGAAATCCGTTATACATTGCCATATACAGTTGTTATTTATTTCGGCCCTGCTGATGTCCGACTGTAATCCATTCTATACCGCCACATGCAGGCCAGTCCTGCCCGCATTTTTCCGTTTCTATTTTTTCGAGGGGTTTTTTTCCTGTAAAATTAATCCAATCATTTTTAAATTTTTCTATGGAGTTTTTTTTCACCCCTCGCTTATCATTTTTCTTAACGGTCTTCTGATCTCAAAAACTATGTCTTGCACTTTGTACAGATTTTGCCTACCTCGTCTAAAATTCGCATGTAAATTTATTTTTACTTGCTTTGATGGGATGCCGACGGGTCTTTAATAAAAATAATTTTAATTTCTTTTTAATTTTTTTAAAATGGAATCTCTGCCAAAGCCGCACAGGTATGTGGGTTCATTTCGCATAAGTTTTTCCTGCCGGAAATGAAATTGAGACTTTATCAAATGTTTGCTCTTTCTGTTTTCGAGTACCGTTGTCCTTTCTTTGGTTTAATGAACGCCTGTGACCTTAAAAAATCAAAAATGCTCAGAGGGTTTTCACTCGGCGACTCTTCTTTCAAGCTGCATCCGATATTTCTTATACTCAGAGATGTCAGCTGGCGAGCATCAAGTTTTTATGCATTAGCAGACTTAGAGCTGGCCTTTGCTTCCTTACTCGCATTAACTCTAACTTCAGTCTTCTACCCACTGACACTCTCACTCCGAGAGATCGGTCTCATATCACACTACCCAGACTATCCCTTTTTAATTTTCGTAGTTAAATAACAGTAGTACTTGCTATTCAGTGCGCTTTTATGTACGTTAGCAACGTTTTGATCCTTGTACTGTAACGAAAAAGTTTTCGTGTCTGTAATGCCCCGCAGAGCACGTGCTAACAGACGAAAGCTTGCGGCCTCCCCACCGTCTCTGGGTGCTAGAATCGCCACCGAAGACAGCAGTTGCCAGCATATTTTCTTTTCCTTCTACAGATATGGTGAACTCACAAATCCCTTTTGTACATATAGAACCTCCTGACCTCCCAATCGTCCAAACATACGCCTCTGCTAGTCGTAGCAGGCCATCAGCCGACGAAATACTCGATCAGTTGATATATGGCAACATAAACAGTACATCTGAAAAAAGTAATTGAAAAAGCTTTTAAACTTATCGGGATATTAAGTTCGGAAACTGAGGAAAGAATTAAATGCAAGCATAATTTCGTACTGAAAAACATTCCGAGCTACTTATCTGCTATGGAGGGAGCGCATTTGATCTTACAACGTTGTGGCTTGAGTTTCAGTGTCGCATAAGCTAAACGACTGCGCTCGCTTAGCCGTAATGCGCCGATACTAGTTACCCTTTTCTCCTTGATAGAAGTCGATTTAATCTTGTCGAGGAGGGAGATAACTAGAGAATTCTGCCATAAATGACGCAGCTCCGTTTTGTCAGACCTCATATCCCTGCAGCGAAGACTGAATAAACTAAAATCGGAAAAAACCAACACCAAGATAATGACACCTACTGACAGTTTGAATAATTCCTCTGCACGTCACGGCATAGTCAATTGCGTAGGGAATTCGACTGCTCTTAATGTTGAGATCTTTAAACACACCATCACGCCTGGTATAAACACGTCTCTATCGACTCCCCCAGCAACCCCTAGTAAGCCTAAGCATGCGTCAAATGCAAAGGCAAATCCCATTGCTGCCTCAGTCACTCGGACACCCGATAAATCCAGCACCATTATAAAATCTTTTCCTCCACAATCGGCTAATAGTGCCTCAAACACCCCCACTCAAAACGTATCGTGTTCCCAACTGCCCCGCAGCCTTCATATCGAGGCAGTTAGGCCGAATATGCCGATTTTCCCGCCTTTTAATAGAACTCTTGCTCCAATGGAAACAATGCGTCCCCCACCCCCTAACTTGTTTTTTCCACGGCCGTTTTACCAATGTATTCCTCAAGATAATGTCCATACTGGATCAGTTAACTCATCCGATCCTCAGTTTCGTTCCGGCGAGAATGTATTGCAGTATCTGGCCCGCGGATTTCCAGCTGAAAATAAGTTAGCTAACAATGGTTACCAGTTTACCTGCCCGCCATTCCCTCCCCCAAGTCCTACCCCTTTCTATCCACGTCAGAATTTTTTGATGCCACAAACTTTTTGCAGAACCGGATGGGTACATCCGGACCGTTTGCTCCGTGGGCAGCCAAGCACTGGACTACGTAGCCCACCTCCCCCAGAAACAAACAGCCTTTCCCTTCAAACTTTTTGTTTTAAATGCCAGATCCTTGTTTAATAAGGTGCCTTTGCTTCAGACTCTGGTGTTCGTCCATTGTCCAGATATGATTTTAGTAACTGAGACATGGGCATCAGCCTCCATAGCTGACTCCGACCTCTCACTTCTGGGCTATAATTGCATTCGAAATGATCGCTAAGACAACCGTGGTGGGAGCAGCTGCGTCTACGTTAAACAAACACTTACACTTTGCATTTTTCCGTAGTAGAAGACAGCTGCTGGCTCCAAGTTGCACTAAAAAATAAGTTCGCCTTTCTCGTTGGCTGCGTCTATCGCCCTCCCAACGCCAACGACAATTTCGATCGTTTACTCTCACAGGCATTTCATGCTGCGACCGACTTAAATTTTAAGTCTCAATTGGTTGCGGGTGACTTTAATCTCCCTGAAGTCCGCTGGTCTCCGCTTTCAGGCCCCAGAAAGTTCGAAGACTGACTTAAGGCTGTGGATGTTGGCATGTGGACTCAGGTTGTCGATTTTCCCACCCGAGGGTCAAGCATACTTGACCTGATTTTTTGTAGAGGCTGCATACCTTCGTCTTTGTCACCCCTAGGCCCACTCGGGGCTCAGACCATGACATAGTTGTTTCAACGTTGGGATTCGAGGCTGACAAAACGTTGTCCCCAAAGTATGGCTTTTTCCGCAATTTCCGATCAACTCGCTCGACCGAATTATTAACACATCTTAATTCCTACGACTGGACTGATTTCTTCCTTAGTTCGGATGTAAATGTTTGCACTGCAAAACTGTACGAAATTTTGGATCCGCGTTTTTCGCGTTGTGTCTCCTGTAAGAAAATTAGTAATGTTGGGGATGATATTTACCTACCCTTACCCTTTCCTCGCAGATTGCGCAGACTTTATCGTCGATTCCATCTTCAGAACGACGTTTCTGTCCTGCCCTTGATTTGT